CTTCTGAAACAATATGTTGGCCTTGAGAGGGAGATATGACATTGTCTTGATCTAAAGTTGCTTCGTGAATAATATCAGGGATAGAAACCGAATCATTGTCAATGACAGTTGGAGGAATTTCAACATATTCCTCCCCAAAGACAAAGCCTGTAACCCTTCCCCCCCCCCCCTCGCGCAAACTCAACATCCTCAAAGAACCAATCATTTCCTGTCTTGAAAATTACCTTAGTTGTGGGATCATAAAACTTATAACTCCTGGACCTTTCAGAATATTCAATAAAATAGTAACCGATGGTCCTTGTGTCCAGTTTCTTTTCATTTGGCTTATAGGGCCTTACCTCGACTGGACACTCCCAAATATGTATATGCTTCAAACTAGGCATCTTGTCTGTCCAAAGCTCATAAGGGGTTTTATCAGTGGCCTTAGTTGGAATTTTGTTGAGTGTATACGCTGCGGTCTTTAATGCTTCACCCCAGAAAGATTCCGGTAAGGTAGAGTGACTAATCATATTACTCACTATGTCCTTAAGCATTCTGTTTCATCTCTCAACAATACCATTCATAGTGGGCGAACCCAACATAGTGTACTGTAGGACGATACTACATTCCTCTAGGAATTTAGCAAATGGTCCTGGACGTTGTTTACCTGAACCATCATATTTGCCATAGTATTCACCCCACGATTAGATCTGACGCTGTTAATCCTTTTGTTGAGTTGGTTCTCAACTTCGGCTTTATAGTTTTTGAACACATCCAGCGACTGTGATTTTTCATGAATGTGATACATGTAGCCATATCTTGAAAAGTTATCTATGAACGTTATAAAATATTGTTGACCATTCCAAGAACCTATAGGGAATGATCCATAAGTTCTAAGACGTCCAAAGTCTTGTTGGCTTGAAATCTCCTTTTATTGGTTTGTTTTCCCGTTATACGGTTGATACACAAATCATAATCTGTGAAGTCAAGAGGGTCAAAAATCCCGTTGACACAAGTCTCTCAATTCTCCTTTTGAAGATGTGACCTAATCTCTTGTGGCACAACGAGGTAGAATTCTCGCTGGTTAATTTTCGCTTTATACCTTGAGTACTTACATGCAATGATTTAAAAGAAGCAATTCTATCAATTAAATAAAGATTATCATAACCTGATAAAGAACCCAAACAAGCCAATTTTGAATCATGAAACAAATCGAACTTTCCATTCCTGAATGAACAAGAATAACCGGATTTATTCAAAGTAGAAATAGAAATCAAATTTCATCAAAAAGACTGTACAATAAATGTTTCATCAGATCCAAATAAAATCCACTCTTCAACAATAATCTAAAATTTTCTATTGTCTCTACTTTCACCGTCTTTCCATCAACAACATAGATGTATTTTTCACCATCACTTGATTTTGGCAACTCAGTCGACCTTACATAGACACACTGATGTGAGTTGTTGTATCATAATCTATCCACCATGTGTGTCTAGATACCGAAGTTAAATTAACCTCAAAACAAACCAAATGAAGAGGAATACCTTTCTTCATACGCCATTCGTGATAATTAGTACAATTCTTTTTCTTATGACTTGCAACTCCACAAAAGAAACAACCACCTTCAGTTTTTTTTCTTATGTTGTTTCTTTTGTGATGTTGTACCTGCAGCTTCCTTATCAGTTGGTTTTCCTTTTCCTTTATACCTCATTGAAGTAAGGTTTTCCAAAAGTGTACTAGTTTCAGTTTTTTCATTCTTGGCAAATCTCTTCTCAAGATTCTTAAGGAAAACCTTAGCCGTATTTACTTCATTAGACATAGTGCCCTGAAATGGTTCTGGAATAGCACGTTTCATGACCATTAAGTTTATGCGGTTCGATCTTTTCCACTTTTCCATTTCCTTCTTGTTATCAGAGGTATTCTCATCAGTAAGTTTAGTAGGTTAATCGACCCGTAAAGTGGGGTCTAGGTCCATGACTCTGAGAACGATCAATACATTCTCTTGCCATACCTTGAAGTTTGTGTCATTAAGGATTGGAATTGAGTCGATGCTAGTAGAGGTATTAACATAGAATTTGAAACTGGATTAGAGAACAATTATTACAAATGGCTCACATGAATATCTTTAATATGCAATAATAATAATATTCTCAAATAATGGTAGGGCCCATCACAAGATACCTAGCACAACATCAATATCTAATTTTTGAATAGAAATATTGACTTGTAAGTGATCAAATACTGACAATAAATACATGTCAATCAATAAATCTTTCTTGAACCGATTTATTGATCACACATTAAACCAAATAATCATCACATGTTTACCACCTCAAGTGCACGTGAAATTCGACCAAATATTTACCTTTCTTTTGGCCGATCAATATTCGCATGAATAAAACACACACAAACACCTTTTAATATTCTAAGTTAATCAATTTCTACAAGAAAGGTTGATTTGACAACATGTTACTTCAATTAACTAACTTTCGAACATTATATTTCTTAAAAGAGTTCTTAGTACCAAAACTTGAGAAAGAGAATCACCAATTTTGCACATTTTATTTAGTTTTAAACTTTAGGGACCTTGGGGTTAATAATTCAAGACTTTAGGGGTGCAAAATTCATTAATTTAAAACTTTAGGGGCCAAAATTAATAAATTTAAAACTTTAGGGGCCAAAATTGATGAATTTAAAAATTTAGGGGCGAAAAATTGACCAATTCAAACTTTAGGAGCCAAAATTGATCAATTCAAAACTTTAGGGGTCAAATTTTAAAAATTTGAAACTTTGGGGATAATTTGAATCAATTATAAACTTTAAGGACTTTGAATTATAAAATTCAGCACTTTATTGACCCAAATTAATTATTTTTTAAACTTTATGGGCTGAATTATTAAATCCAAAACTTAAATGCCCAAATTTGAATATACTTTAAATGTTAGGGACTGAAACCTTAATTTTATAACCCTAACCCTAATTGCAAGCAAGGGCCTCAAATAATCTAATTTAGAGAAGAAGCCCCGCCCCTAAATCTTGCAAAAAATTGAAAAACCCTAAAAATAATTTCTCTCTTCTTTCTTCGCTCTAGCGCCGCCTGGGATTGTGGCGCCGGTGTGCAGAACAGCGTCAGCTACGCTGCTCACAAGCAGCAACGTCGGCTAGTGCGCTGTCGGGAAAAAAATTGACCTTCTTAATTTTTTTCTCTTTTTAATTTTTTTGTCTCTTTATATATATAAATCACCCAAAAAAACCCTAAAGAGAAAAAAAAATAAAATTCCATTCTCTTTTCATTGGCGGCGCGGCTACGCCTCCTTGAGTAGTGGCGCTGGCTACCTTGCACTGCTACGTGCCAGCAATGCCGACGGCAGCCGGAACAAGGAACCTTTCCCCCTTTTTCTTTTATATATATATATATATATAATCCACAAAAAAAAATAATAAATCTGTAATCTTAAGAAAACCATAATCTGAAAATTCCTCAATTGAATCAATCCATATTATGAAAGACAACCAAGAATAACATGCCGCAATGTTTTCAAATTCAACAAAAATATCGATCCAAAGTTGTTAAATCTGAAAACTTCAAAAGAATATTGCAAGAACCAAATTTTAAAGATTTGATTCTCAATGATTCAACATAAAAAGGCTCTAATACCACTTGTACGATAATTTATTACTTTAAATCACCGGATCTTCATGTTGGATCATCAAGAAATACATGAATTATAGCGAAAGCGTACCTGAATCAGAGATTGTTAATGCAATGATTGAATTTCGCGATTTTATCTTCCAAACTACACGTAGTCTCCTTTTTCTCTCTGTGATGGGATTCAGAAGAGAATGTATAATATGTACGTGTGATCTGGGGACCGCAACTGTATTTATATAGCGATGTCCTTTGACCTAATTCGGCCCATCATAGAATTAGGAACTTGAGTCCGGTCTCTACACATAAAATAAACATATACTTTAATTGGATGCATTAAAGTCCAAAACTGAAGCCTTATTAGATCACTTTAAATGGGTTCAATCGAATTCGATAGCATTTAATTTAGTATACAATAATTTACACATATAAGCCCACACGATCGTTTCAAATTCCTTACACGGACTGTCTAGGATCATATAGAACGGTGCCCACCAAGAAAACTAGGTCGTTGCTACCCCTAAAACATAATCAAATCGAAAGCAAACCACCACCACCACCACCACCTACCTATCTATCTTCATGTTCTATTATGAGGCTTTCCAAAGGTTTCCTTATTCAATCACCCTATCATTTTCAGTATCCACATATCTTTGTTCGAGTTGAGATATGCCGTCTAAAAGTTGCTATCCAATTTGTTGTCCATCTAATAAATGATTGGCACATCACTTTAAATTAACATATCCCACTTTTCTCTTACTGTCACTTGTTCTTAAAATTAGATGATACTTTAATATAAAATGATATGTCGATCATTTATTGGTGGATAATAAATTAGAGAGCAAAGAGTTGAGATATGCTGTCTAAAATTTGCTAACCTTTTCAAATTTCAAGTTGCCTTATCATTTGACGCTCTACTTCACTCCACAAAACCACTCATGGCCACAACCATAATTAATTGCCTAGGATCTCACATTGCATTCACCCCAAATTCTTATCCATCTATCCTTGTTGGAGTTGAGATTTGCTATCTAAAAGTTGTTGTACAATTTGTTATCCATCCAATAAGTGATTGATACATCATTTTAAATTAATATATCCAACTTTTCTTTTACTGTCACTTGTGCTTAAAATTATGTGATACTTTAATGTAAAATGATAGGTCGATCATTTATTGGTGGATAGTAAATTGGAGAGCAAAGAGTTGAGATATGATGTCCAAAATTTGCCGTCCTTTTCAAATTTCAATTTACCTTATCATTTTACTCTCTACTCCACTCCACAAAACCACTTCTAACGACACCTATAAGTAATTGGCTAGGATCTCACAATGCATTCACCCCAAAATTCTTATCCACCTATCCTTGTTGGAGTTGAGATCGGCTATCTAAAAGTTGCTATCTCATTCATTATCCATCCAATAAATGATTGACACATCATTTTACATTAATATATTCAAATTTTCTCTTAGTGTTACTTGTGCTAAAAATTATGTAACGCTTTAATGTAAAATGATGTGTCGATTATTTATTGGTGAACACTAAATTCAATAGCAAAGAGTTGAGATATGTTGTCCAAAATATGCCGTCCTATTCAAATTTCAAGTTGCATTATCATTTGACACTCCACTCCACTCCACTCCACTCCACAAACCCACTTCCAACCACAGTTAGAAGTAATTGCCTAGGATCTACATTGCATTCACCCCAAATTCTTATCCGCAAAGAACCATGGTGGACTCACCTCAAACAGAGCCAACATGGCCGGAACTTCTCGGCCGTGATGACTGGAACGGCCTCCTCGACCCTCTGAGCCTCAGCCTTCGTCGCCTAATCCTCCGCTGTGGCGACTTCTGCCAAGCCACCTATGACGCCTTCAACAATGATGGGAACTCCAAGTACGCTGGCAGCAGCAGATATGGCAAGAACTCATTCTTTAACAAAGTCATGCTGGAATCAGCTTCTGATTATCAAGTCTACAGTTTCCTCTACACAACTGCGAAAGTCAACTTCTTTCAAGCTCTCTTCTTGCATTCCCTGTCAAGAGAAGCCTGGGATCGAGAAACAAACTGGATAGGCTACACTGCTGTGACGACCGATGAAGTTAGCAGGGTACGAGGCCGTAGGGAAGCTTATGTCGTTTGGTGCGGTACCTCAAGGAATTACGAATGGCTTAATGTGTTGAGAGCTAGACCAGAGTCAGCCGATCCATTATTGCGCCCTAACTCATGGGAAAAAAGGAGCCCAGATGACAGTAGCAGTAGTGATGAAGACGAGAATGAGCCAAAAGTGATGAACTGTTGGCTTACAATTTACGTTTCTAATGATCCCAATTCATCTTTCACAAAATTGAGTGCAAGAGAACAGATTTTGGCTAAGATTAATGCACTGAGAGACCAGTATAAAGATGAAGATCTGAGCATAATATTAACAGGGCATAGTCTTGGTGCATGTTTAGCAATTTTATCAGCATTCGCAGAACCAGGAATCAAATACTCATCATTTAAAATGGCACTGGATTTATTCACCAAAGCCAAACTCCTCTTCACTTTCAGTTCAAATTCCCCTTCACTACCATTCCAACCCGCCCCAACATGAAGCATAACCTGCAAATTATGCCAGTCACTCGGATTGCTCGATTCCTTCAAACTTGGAGATTTTCTGTTGTCAATCTCCAGCTCGATTCCAGTATTCGAATATCCCGGTAATGGACTCAGATAATGCGGAATCATATCAATCTCGTTCTTGATATGCAGCACATTCAGATTTTGATATTTGTTCAATCTTTCATTGAAAGCCCTGTTCCCAACTTGAGGACTACCAAAAACAATAGCAGAAACTGGGATATCAGTTACCCCGTTTTTAACTGGGGGTTGAGAAGAATAAAGGGATGGTTCTTGATGAAAATGGAGACTGGATTTTGGAACCACTATCGGACGAGGATCAACCCGTGCCTGAATTTTGAAGTGGTCACGACTCCATGCCACTCTTGAGCTCATGCATTAGGTACTCGAGTGATGAAGATCGAATGCTATAAAAGGTTTGGCGTTTCTACGCTGGCCGATTCTAAATGCTCTGTGTTGCCATCTGGTTTCCAAGAATTGTAGATTCTCTGTTCCTTTAACTTAGGTTGGAATTTGGCACTAATCTATAATGTGCTTTTTCTTGCTTTACTTTATCAGGTATGTTGTGGAATGAAGGCATGTTTGGCTAAACTTATAAGTAGCTTATTTGGGTCTTTTATTGAGTGTAAGCATGTGTGATAATCAATTTTAGTGATCATCGTGTACTTTTATTCTTGAAACACTTTTTTCAAGAATTATCTCATAATCATACTTTCAAGTAATCGTTATTTATAATAAAAAGAATTTCTTAACACATCATCTCTCATATCCCATATACTCGAGAACTTCAGCACTCACACTGAGCGCTAATCTAAGTTTTGAAAGAAACGTTCTCACCGATCACATGCAGTACATACCATGGGCACAATATTGAAAAGAATGCTAATCATTCTAAGTGAGATATCCAAGATAAAAGGAACGATAGGAAGAATCGACGATGAATCTATATCTATAATATAAAATCGTGAATGACCAACTTTAACACGTACAACATAGTTCTAGACAATTTCTAATAATGCTTTTGAGATTGCAACCGACATGTCTCATGACTCTAATGTGAAGGAGTTAAATCGAAAAAGAGGAGATGTCACAAGTCCAATAGTGAAGTCATTTGCTCGTGGAACACATTGCCTTGTGATTGACCCAACAAGAAGAGTTGATGGCCGACATGGTAGGGTCCAAGCTTTTCATTGCAACCAGACTTGGACACTTGTTCCTCGTCCCTCAACACCAATGTTGTTAGCTAAAAACTGAATTATTTCATGAAAATAAAAAGAAGATGAGCTCACTTAATTGTCAAAGAATTCGATCAAATTTCAAGTTTAGATATTATTGTAAATTCCTATCTAGATATTCAACCCACTAATATTCACCTCGTTCATTCTATTCTAGTAAGTCCAAAATTGAAAATAAGATAACTAAATGGAGAAAATGCGTTTTTTCAACGTTTTTAAGTAACCATATACAAGAACTAACTTATTGGCTCCATTAATGAAAACTTCTCCTTGATGCTTGCAAATTGCGTTTCTTTTTCTATATGCTCAAAGTAGTCTCTTAGCTTAGTTGATATGTCTTTGAGGCTTTCTTTTTACTCGTCTTTCGATGCAATAAGTCAAATTGTTATAAATTGATATTCCAGTAGAACTGTGCAAGTTGACGATTATTATCTATCTCAAAGCTCATTTTACTTTATGCGTTCTCAAACATTTACTAGATAGGTTGTCTATTCACTCAACAAAAATTGTTATCATGTTTATCTTGATACAAATTGTACTTTTTTGAGGTCAAAAAAATCAACTATTATTGTTTGTTCAAGTGTAGTTTCGCGGCTTTCGCCCTGGCAACATTGCCTTCTTTCTACAACGCCTTCAATTTCTTTTTTGTGACAACACAAATGTTCTTCACATGGTTAATAATATTGAGTTCCATTCTTGTTCCAAACATAACAAAATTTACTTCATCTCATTCAAAAATTTCAATTTTATTTTTATTTTTTAGGTCATCTCCATGTTTGGTATGTTCTCTCCAATGTCAAATTACTAATATCTTCACAAACCTTTCTCTGACCTCTTCTTTCGTCCCTTTTTCACACAAATTGGGTGTTTAGTGCATGACCTCACTAACTTGTATGAACTCGAGTTCAAAATAAATAAATCAACCATTTTCACTTTAATAATCGCAAGAGTTTTTTTTTTTTTTTTTAATTATATTAGAAAACGATGAGTCTTGATTTAATAATACTTTCTTCAATTCTGCAAAATAATAAATAAATACTTTCTTTGAAATTCAATGAACTTAGGCAAACATGCCTTTGTGCACCGTAAGAAAAATACTAGGATTCTTAGTAGGATTAATTTCATTTTTAGTCATTGAACTTTCAGTAAAATCTCAATAGTCACTCCATTATCCATCGTTACTAAATTTAATGTCACAATTCTACATGAATATTAAAAATGATAAAAATATGCGATGTATTTCTCAATAAATATGCCAGCTAACTATGTTGCAATTGTAAAGTTTGAAGATAAATCATGTTAAAAAATAGATGTATCATTCATCCGACAGAGCATACTCGAAAAGTATTCATCTCTCATTTCAAGATTTTCACCCATTGACATGATTGGGGGTGTTTTTACTCAGAAAGCCGGGGACAAAAGTTTAGGATGGAAATTGAAATCGAGTAATGATTACGACAAATTAAAGTTACGCGACCAGCTAATTGATATTTTAATCAAACTTTAATGACCAAAAATATTATCAACCCTTGTTCATTTGCTTCCTATTGGTGAAAATTAAAAAATAAAAATAAAAAAATTGAATGAAACAAACCAGACTTGTGTTTATTTGTATTTAGTGTAGGGTATTGATTTTACTTCAACTATTGGGAGAAAATTAGATTTATGATTTATCAATAAAATCTAGTGACGACTCCTTACCCCCATTGTTATGGATAGATATCAATGATAGATTTTTGACAACAATAGAAGATTGTAAATAAATTTTATCACATGACTATTTTTGCCAATAAATTAATTTAAACTAATGTCATTTGTGACGTCATCATGACTGTTGACAAACAAAACTTATAAAATGGTATCATTTTGAATATATGAGTTTATGTCTTGGGAATATGTGACCCTGAGAGAGAGGGAGGCCGATAAATGAACAAATCAGTATTGATTTCATAAACATTTTCTTAGCATATAGACATTTAAACGACATCTTAATTTCCATGATAATCTTAAAACATAGGGTTATGCCACTTTGACATAAACATAAAGTGGTTGACAGATGGAGCGACATAATGTTAGTTGGCAAGATATGATTAGAAGAAAAAATTGATTGTATTTGATATAGTTTAATGATAGAGTGTCGTCTAGTATTATGTCAATGATTATATCAATGCATCATAATTTAAAAATATATTCATTATTTCATTCCAAATACCAATTGATTAATAAGTGTAACTTGAGATTGAGCTACCCCTATTGTCTATGAGAAAACAAAGAAGGTAAATTGGCATTTCACGATTAGGGTAAACAAGTCTAGTCATGTCAACAAGAAATGACAACATCATGTCCACTCCTTAATCAATTCAATTGGTTCAATCATTACCCAAAACAAATGCGCTTGAAAATAGGGCCAAAACAGGGGGCGCCATTTGGCACTGTTTTTGGGCCTATCCCAACGGCCTTTTTCAACAAATAAAGGGGGCTATTGCTTGAACAATCCCTGGATGTCCAGGGGGATCGTTCAAGTGGCTTTTTTAATATATGTAACAGGTTAACTTGTGAAACATTTACATTATCTAAAATGAAGTAAAATGAGTAAAACAAAAATATTGCTTGCAATTCTTATAGAAAATACAGCAAACAACTATGACGACTCACCATGATGTGTGGAGTAGCTTGCTCGATTGGAGCCTGGAGAGGGAGATGCAGGGTCTAAAACTAAATTCAAACTCTCGAGAAATTAAATATGGCTCACCGCATACACCATTGGATCAATATTAGAGCCAATGTCAATTCAAGAAGTCTCTTACCAAAGTAGAAATTCCTTAAGCCATTAATCGAAACAGTTACAAACTTTTTATCACTACACCTTTGTTTGCGAAGATAAATATACCAAATGAAGGAAAAAAGCTCAAATAACTATAATTAAATTGGAGTAATAGAACGTTGCCTCGTTAAACCCATCTATCTTAATGTTCTATTAGGAGGCTTTCCAAAGGTTTCCTTATTCAATCACCCTATCATTTTAATTATCCACCCATCTTTGTTGGAGTTTTAAGATGAGGAAATTTTGTCAAATGTCAATTTTTACTTAGTCATTTGCAAAAATGTCAATTATTGCAAACCATTGCAAAAATGTCCAATTTGAAAAAATTTAGACCAAAATACCCTTATTAACAATTTTTTATTCCACACTACGACAAAAAAATGGACATTTTTGTAAAATTGTTATTGACGAATAAAATTTTGACACATAACCTGCTATATTTATTTCAAAAGTATACATGTCAAATCACAATAAATGCTATATTTTTCGTTGACTCAGAAATGTCGAGAACGATATTTTCAAATGTCGAGAAATGTTATGTTCAAAATAAAATGTCATTCTAGACAAATGAAACGTTCAAATGTCGAGAATGACATATGTAACGTCGAGAATGTCACCGTGACACGGAGGTACTTGTCCGTGTCACGGAGACGGGATTTTTTCAATTTTTTTTTTAATGACACGGTATTCAAATGTCGAGAATGACATTAGTAATGTCGAGAATGTCTCCGTGTCACGGAGACGTGATTTTTTTTTTTTTAAAAGTATCATATTTTTTGTTTTCACGTTATTTTTTTAAAGTATTATATTTTCTTTTTCTTTTTTTGTCGTCCGAATTTATTTTAATATAACTTTTCATGGAAGCCACTTCTCAAAATTCGTGACAAATTGATAAAAAAATCAAAATGTCGAGAATGACATTTGAAATATCGAAAATACCATTTCAAAATGTAGCTTTTCATTAAGGGCTATTACTTGTCCGTGTCACGGAGACGGGATTTTTTCAATTTTTTTTTTTTAATGACACGGTATTCAAATGTCGAGAATGACATTAGTAATGTCGAGAATGTCTCCGTGACACGGTGGCAAATGTCGAGAATGTCTCCATGTCACGGAGACGTGATTTTTTTTTTTTTTTTAAAAGTATCATATTTTTTGTTTTCACGTTATTTTTTTAAAGTATTATATTTTCTTTTTCTTTTTTTGTCGTCCGAATTTATTTTAATATAACTTTTCATGGAAGCCACTTCTCAAAATTCTTGACAAATTGATAAAAAAATCAAAATGTCGAGAATGATATTTAAAATATCGAAAATACCATTTCAAAATGTAGCTTTTCATTAAGGGCATAATAGACAAATTGACACTAAATTCAAATGAGTGGACATTTTTCAACTCATACTCTTAAAATTGGATATTCTTGAAAATGCCTCAAAAATTAGGTGACACTTTAATGTAAAATGATGTGTCAACCATTTATTGGTGGACAGCAAGAAGTTGATATGTGCGGTCCAAATTTCAAGTTGCCATATCATTTGGCGCTCTCCTCCACAGAACCACAGGTAATTGCCTAGGATCCCACATTGCATTCACCTCAAATTCTTATCCGCAAAGAACCATGGTGGACTCATCTCAAACAGAGCCAACATGGCCGGAACTTCTCGGCCGCGACGACTGGAACGGCCTCCTCGACCCTCTGAGCTTCAGCCTCCGTCGCCTAATCCTTCGCTGTGGCGACTTCTGCCAAGCCACCTATGACGCCTTCAACAATGATGGGAACTCCAAGTACGCTGGCAGCAGCAGATATGGCAAGAACGCATTCTTTAACAAAGTCATGCTCGAATCAGCTTCTGATTATCAAGTCTACTGTTTCCTCTATGCAACTGCAAAAGTCGACTTCTTTCAAGCTCTCTTCTTGCATTCCCTATCAAGAGAAGCCTGGGATCGTGAATCAAACTGGATAGGCTACATTGCTGTGACGACCGATGAAGTTAGCCGAGTACTAGGCCGTAGGGAAGCTTATGTTGTTTGGCGCGGTACCTCAAGGAATTACGAATGGCTTGATGTGTTGGGAGCTAGACCAGAGTCAGCCGAGCCATTGTTGCGCCCTAAACCATGGGAAAAAAAGAGCCCGGATGACAGTAGCAGTAGTGATGAAGACGAGAATGAGCCAAAAGTAATGAACGGTTGGCTTACAATCTACGTTTCTAATGATCCCAATTCACCTTTCACAAAATTGAGTGCAAGAGAACAGCTTTTGGCTAAGATTAATGCACTGAGAGACCAGTATAAAGATGAAGATCTGAGCATAATATTAACAGGGCATAGTCTTGGGGCAAGTGTAGCAATTTTATCAGCATTCGATCTAGTCGAAAACGGGGTTACTGATATCCCAGTTTCTGCTATTGTTTTTGGAAGTCCTCAAGTTGGGAACAAGGCTTTCAATGAAAGATTGAACAAATATCGAAATCTGAATGTGCTACATATCAAGAACGAGATCGATCTGATTCCGCATTATCCGAGTCGATTACTGGGATATTCGAATACAGGAATCGAGCTGGAGATTGACAACAGAAAATCGCCAAGTTTAAAGGACTCGAGGAATCCGAGTGACTGGCATAATTTGCAGGCTATGCTTCATGTTGTGGCGGGTTGGAATGGTAGTGAAGGGGAATTTGAACTGAAAGTGAAAAGGAGTTTGGCTTTGGTGAATAAGTCCAGTGCCATTTTAAATGATGACTATTTGATTCCAGGTTCTTGGTGGATTGAGAAGAATAAAGGGATGATTCTTGATGAAAATGGAGACTGGATTTTGGCACCACCATCGGACGAGGATCGACCTGTGCCTGAATTTTGAAGGTACTCGAGTGATAAAGATCTAATGCTAAAAAAGGTTTGGCGTTTCTACGCTGGCCGATTCTAAATGCTCTTTGTGTTGCCTTCTGGTTTCCAAGAATTGCAGATTCTCCGTTCCTTTCACATAGGTTGGAATTTGGCACTAATCTATAATGTGCTTTTTCTTGCTTTACTTTATGGTGTATGTTGTGGAATAAAAGGTTTGGCCAAACTTATAAGTAGCTTATTTGGGTCTTTTATCGAGTGTAAGCACTGTGTGATAATCAATTTTAGTATCAATTTTAGTAATCATGGGGTACTTTTTATTCTTGAAACACATTTTTTTTCCAAATTATCTCATAATCATACATTCAAGTAATCTTTATTTATAATAAAAAGAACTTCTTAACACATCGTCTCTCATATCTCATATACTCGAGAACTTCAGTACTCCCGCGAAGCGCTAATCTAAGTTTTGAAAGAAACGTTCTCACCAATCACAAGTGGTACATACCTTGGGTACAGTATTGAAAAGAATATGAAATATTCTAAATGAGATATCCAAGATAAAAGGAACAAAGAGAATGATCAACAATGAATCTATATCTATAATATAAAATCGTGAATGACCAACTTTAACACGTACAACAAAGTTCTAGACAATTTCTAATAATGCTTTTGAGATTGCAACCGACATATCTCATGACTCATGTGAAGGAGTCATATCGAAAAAGAAGAGACGTCACAAGTCCAATAGTGAAGTCATTGGCTCGTAGAACACATGGCCTAGATGACCCAGCAACAAGAGTTGATGGCCGACATGGTAGGGTCCAAGCTTTTCATTGCAACCAGACTTGGACACTTGTTCCTCGTCCCTCAACACCAATGTTGTTAGCTAAAAATTGAATTATTTCATTTTAATTAAAATAAAAAGAAGATGAGCTCACTTAATTGTCAAAGAATTCGATCAAATTTCAAGTTTTTGATATTATTGTAACTTCCTATCTAGATATTCAACCCACTAGTATTCACCTCGTTCATTCTATTCTAGTAAGTTCAAAATTGAAAATAAAATAACTAGATGTAGAAAATACATTTCTTCAACGTCTTTAAGTAACCATATACATGGACTAACTTATTGGCTTTATTAATGAAAACTTCTCCTTGATGTTTGCAAATTGCGTTTCTTTCTCTATAAGCACAAAGTAGTCTCTCAACTTAGTTTGAATGTCTTTGTGGCTTTCTTTTTACTCGTCTTTAAATGGAATAAGTCAAACTCTTATAAATTCATATGTCACTAGAACTGTGTAAACAACTACTATATATCTCAAAGCTTATTTTATTTTATGCGTTCTCAAGCGTTTGCTAGATAGGTTGCCCGTTCACTCATAGCAGGAATTGTTATGATGTTTATCTTGATATAAAATGTATTTTTTTGGAGGTCAAAGAAATAAACTATTGTTGTTTGTTCGTTCAAGTGTCGAAGTCGTATATGCTGGACTGCTCTAGTTTCCCCCTGACAACATTGCCTCCTTTCTACAACGCCTCAATTTCTCTTTTGTGACAACACAAATGTTCTTCACATGGTTTATAATATTGAGTTCCATTCTTGTTCCAAGCATATCAAAATTGACTTCTATTTCATTCAAAATTTTCATTTTTATTTTTATTTTTGAGATCATCTCCATGTTTGGTTTGTTTTCTCCACTGTCAAATTACTAATATCTTCACAAACCTTTCTCTGAACCTCTTCTTTCGTCCCTTTCTACACAATTGGGTGTTCAGTGCATGACCTCACTAACTTGTATAAACTAGAGTTCAAAATAAAAAAAATAAATCAATTAACCATTTTCACTTTACTAGCTAATTGCAAGATTTTTTTATTTTTTTTTTCGCCTTGTTAAATTATATTAGAAAACAGTTAGTGTTGATTTAATAATACTTTCTTCAATCCTGCAAAACTAAATAAATAAATACTTTCTTAGAAATTCAATGAACTTAGATCAACATATTTGCCTTTATGAGCCATTCGAAAAATTCTAGGATTCTTAGTAGGATTGATTACATTTTTAGTCATTGAACTTTCAGTAAAATCTCAATAGTCACTCCATTATCCATCGTTACTAAATTTAATGTCACAACTCTACATGAATATTAACGATCATAAAAATATGCAATGTATTTATCAGTAAACATGCCATCTAATTATGTTGCAATTGTAAGTTTGAAATTAAATCATGTTTAAAAATAGATGTATCATTCATCCGACGGAGCATACTGAAGAAGTATTCATCTCTCATTTCAAGATTTTCACCCATTGACATGATAGGTGGTGTTTTTACTCAGAAAGCGGGGTGGAAGTTTAGGAGGGAAATTGAAGTCGATTAATGATTGTGACAAATTAAAGTTAGGCGACCAGCTAATTGATACTTTAATCAAACTTTAATGACTAAAAATATTATTGACCCTTGTTCATTTGCTTCCTATTGGTGAAAATTGAAAATAAAAAATAAAAAAATTGAATGTGCTGGGCGCGGAAGCTCCGATACCACTTGTTGATCCCAAACCGAATTGTAAAGAATAAGATTTAATGACAATATTGAAGTAAACAGAATCACACCACGAAAATAAGATTTAAAGTAAAGAAGAACAAAAATGGTTAATCGCAGAAGAACGATGATTATTACTGAATAATTGGAGAAAACAAGTACAACTCAGCAAAATTACTTCTCACAAAATAGACAGAGGAGCCTCATATTTATAGGAAAAAAATCTATCCCTAGTAGTAGAGTTGTAGATAAAATAAAATGTCTAAAAGTTTTTTTATTTAAACTCTTCAAGTCCAACTCAAATTCTAACACCCAATGGGTTTCAAAATAGAACTTTAAATAGATTTTGACAATTAAATTTGAATAAGATTCCTCAAAGCATTTCAATTAGAATTCCTCTTGATGTACATTTTAATTAGAATTCTACAATTATTTTAACAAAATAATTCGAGTCATCCCAAAATTTTAACAATCTCCATCTTGGCACGAATTTCGGTGCAATCGAACGAAACTCCTAGATTTCAAATCCGTCTGTGTCGAAATGAACTAGCCAATCTCCTTAACGCAGTAATCAAACACTCTATATAAACCAAACAATCGTCCTCTGCCCGACGTCCAGGGTCGAAGCACACTCTGTAGCAAGAACCAAACCAGATGCTTAATCAGAAGGCCCCTTGCTGGAAATGTCGCTTTCAGTGTCCCTAGAAGCATCCCAGAGATTATTGACACTATAGTACTTACGCTCGAGAGAACAACCCTAGCAACTGAATATAGTGTACCCGCTGAAATTGGTGGCAAAGCGGAATCACCAATGCTTTGCCTAGCAGTGTTCAGAACCAACTCAGAGCCCAACACAAGAGGTACTATACCAAATTGAACTTCTACCACAGTTCTAAACTTGTTCAAATGTTTCCTCTTAACTGGTTCTTCACTCCCTCGCAAAATATACAACTGGGATCTACTCCATCCATCCAGTACAACCCGGACTCCCTTTCGAACTTTCAAGACTCCACCTCCTCCAAAGAATTTATACCCTTTTACATCCAGGGCACTCAGCGAGGTGAGATTCCTCTTCAAATATGGAATATCTCGAACTTGGCCAAGTGTTCTGACTATCCCATCCTGTAATCGCAATTTGACCCGATCGATTCCAGTAATGCGACAGGACTGGTTGTTTTCCATTACAACTCCATCTTGCTGAACAACCTCATTTGTCTAAAATAAATTCCTAATGGAACACATATGATGCGAACATGCTGAATCAAGAATCCACTATTCGTCAAGCCTAGATTCCACATCAGATACCACGGTGAACGTCACATCTCCCCCATCTGAAAAATCCTCAACTACATTGGTTTCGTCTAAAGTCAAAGGTTGCACTCCACGATTTGCAGCTAAATCACCTCTAGCCTCCAACATATCGCAATTCTTCCGAATATGTCTCTTCCGTTTACAGTAGTAACAATACACATTGTTAAAGTTAAGTTTCGATCCGCCTCTCCGTCGACCACCTTGAGATACAGGAGCTTCCCCATCCCTTGATGTAGCTCCAACCAAATACTTCATCTTCTCCTTTGAGTGCAAAGTATCATAGACATCGTCTATAGTCAAAATATCTCGGCTACACAAGATGGTGTCCGAAATGACGTATAAAAACCAGGCAACGAACGCAATAGGATCGAGGCAAGATCCTCTTCATCGTACTTAACCTCCAAAGTTTCCAAATCTGCAACTATTTCCTTAAATACGGCAATGTAATCGTCCAACGATCCTCCTTCCACTATGCGATAGGAATACAGCTTCTGCTTAAGAGCTAATTTATTGGTAAGACTCTTAGTCATACATACCTACTCTAGTCTCAATCACAAAGCAGCCGCCGTCTTTTCCTTCAAGACATCTTGCAGAATATTGTTAGATAAATGAAGATGAATGAATGATACAGCCTTCCATTGTTTTTCCTCCATTGTCCAATCAGCTGGCATCTTTTCAAAACCCAGCAATGTATCGTCCAAATCCAATTGTGCCAGAACAACCCTCATTTTTACTTACCGCAAATAAAACCTTATATTGTGATCTAGTTGTAGAATAGCATACTTCAACCTAGTCATCCCGAAAAATCTCAATCAATCTATGAAAGGAACCAAACTCTGATACCACTTGTTGGGCGCAGAAGCTCTGATACCACTTACTGATCCAAACTGGATTGTAAAGAATGTGATTTAATGACAATATTGAAGTAAACAAGATCATATCACGAAAACAAGATTTAAAGTAAAGAAGAACAAAAATGGTTAATCGTAGAGGAATGATACTCATTACTGAATAATATAGAGAAAATAAGTACAACTTAACAAAATTGCTTCCCACAAAACTGACAAAGGAGCCTCATATTTATAGAAAAAAATCAATCCCTAAAAGTAGATTTATAGATAAAATAAAATGACTAAAAGTTTCCTTATTTGAACTCTTCAAGTCCAACTCTCAATAGGCTTCAAAATGGAACTTTAAATAGAATTTGACAATTAAACTTGAATAGGATTTCTCAAAGCATTTCAACTAAAATTCCTCTTGATGTACACTTCAATTAGAATTCTACAATTATTTCAACAAAAGAATTCGGATCACCCCAAAATTCTAATAGAAAGAAACAAACCAGACTTTCGTTTATTTTTATTTAGTGTAGGGTATTGATTTTACTTCTACTATTGGGAAAATTAGATTAATGAATTATCAATAAAATCTAGTGACGACTCCTTACTCCGTTGTTATGGATAGAT